GCTGCCTCCTGAATTCCAGCAAATATCAAGTTTTTCCGCTTGGTTTGTGCTTCCAAGTATTCCACTTTATCCGACATAACTTTCAGGAAATCACAGGCTTCATACAGTCCGTCTCTCGTAGCTTTGATCTGCGTTGACTGCTCATCCATGTTAACTTTGATCGCGTCGACCTCACGCTGGGTAAACTGCAAACTCGATTTTATTTCCTGTATCTCCCTGGTCATTTCGTCGAATCTCCTGTTGTTCGTGTCCATAATTATTTGCACAAATCCCTTGAAACTATCGCTGAGTTGATTAACCAGCGCAGTGAAAAGTCGTTTCTGCTCCGACAAGTCCGCAGCAAAATTCTCTTCAACTTCGCCTTCTTCAGCGGCTTCAGATCTATTTGCTCTTTTCCCTTTAGGAGCCATTTCAAGATGTAGACTTTTCCAAAACTTGAAGGTGTAGAAAATATGAAACAGGTATAAGAATCCCAGAACAGACAAGAGGAGCAGAAAAAAACGTCCGCTCTCGCTTGCAAACCCGGAAACTCCGGAAACTTTATGGATTATAAAATAACATAACAAAGGTAGAAAAAGCATGCATCATATCTAAGTTGTCCAGCTGTTTGGATGTATCATTATATGACTGGAAAGATATTTAAAAAAAACTGGTATTGATCATCTGATTGACAATAAATCCATATGAGCATATTTTCCAAAACAAACTATTACTTTAAGCTTGGGAGAAACTCTAAGTCTGACACCTACAAAGAGTAGACACCCCATAAATAAACTACAGTATATGTAAAAAGTCATGAAAACAACTTAGATGTATGGAGTGATTGTGGTCTTAAAATAAACACAAACTAAAGTAACAACTACTGGTTTATTGTGCTGGTCGGCTACTGGTTTGAAATGTGACACAAACAATATTTCAGCAAACATGAAAAAGAAGAACAAAACTTGTTAATAACAAAAAAGGTCTGCCAATTCAAAGCTTTTGGGATTTTGATATTTACAACAAAACTCTACAGGATCATCATCAAATTTTACAAAAACTGTCATCCTCCATCTTGGTTTCGCATGTGTGATACACTAGTAATTAAATTATTTAAATCTCCCCAGTGGATCAAATCCTCTCCAGTTCTGTAGAAATCATTTCCACCCGCCCATAGGACACAAAACCAGAGACCTAAAACCAAACCAAACATTGTTTTGTAAGGCTGAGGAAAGATCAGTGTGGCTGTTTGGTTATTGCAATCATGTGAACTACAAGAAAGTCATTCGATTCACATCACAGATAACTGACTCTAGAGTTTTGATAAAGACAGTGCAAAGACTAAAAGAACCAAAAACAAAGATTGTTGAGATGGCCTAAGTGTTGTTAGTTAACAGCTTCTCTGGGAAGCATATTGGATACCAGTAGCACTTTTTTTACTTGGCTTGATTTCCAGGTCATTTAAATGGTTGACTCAGCATTAACACACTCAAAGAGATTTTCTTTAACAGAGTAAAGGCCTCATTTCAGTCACTCCACACTGACTCTTTACAGTATGTTGGTCTGACTGGAACCAGGCTTCAGAATTTGAAGTGTAATAACAAGTTTGATAGATTTTCTGAACCAGGGATAGAACAGGGCATATATTATAGGGTTTAGACAGGAGTTAAAATAAACCAGACATATTACAAATCCAGCAGATGAGGTGTTGAGCAAGGTAAGCTCGCCTATAAGTGTGGTACAGAAATATGGGCAGATGCATAATAGAAACACAACTATAACAACACCAAGAGTCCTGGCTGCTTTCAGCTCAGATTTCTTAGCACTGACTGAACTCTTAAGTGTGACAGCTGCAATGTGAGACCTCATGGCACGAGCCTGAGACACAGCCACCACAAACACTCTCATATACAGAACTATGATCACTGTAATGGGAATGATAAAGGTTGAAATAAGATCTGTAAGTCGCTCTGTTAAGTTCAAGACTATCACACACTCCCCAATACAAGAATTATATCTGCCTGGTTGATTCAGGTTATCTTTAATTTGCACAATGAGGTAGAAGAGAGAAATGAACCAACACACTGAAACACAGATTTGAACTCTTTCAGAAGTGACTTTGGTGGAGTAATGCAGAGGGTCACAAATGGCCACATAGCGGTCAACTGATATGAGCACCATGGTTCCTACTGAGGAAAAGCTAATAATGTAAGATAAAACACAGTACAACAAACACATAGTGTCACCGAGGTACCAGCAGCCGTCTATGAGCATAATTTGAAACATCAGGAGGAAGCTGACAAAGAAATCTGATATAGCCAGAGACAGGATGAGGAGGTTGGTGGGGCTGTGGAGCTGCCTGGAGAGGACAGACAGTAACATACTTATCATTATTTGTAGTAGCAATTAGTATTTCAAAATATAAAAACTATATAAATTGACTAATTCAAAAACATGAAAAATATTTTTCACAATCATTTAGTTTTATACAGCTACATTTTCATAAAGTGGTTAAATATGTAAGTACTTGAAGTGGGAGATGGAAATGATGACCAGCAGGTTAAGAACTGCAGTGAACAGAGAGATGGACGATAGTACAATGTAAATAGACACAGTTTCAGAGAGAGGATGCTTTGGCTTCATACAGGAGGTGTTGAGTTGTGGAAAACAGAGTTCAGCTTCCTGCATCATCATAGAGAGGAGGAGAGGATAAACTGCTGAGCTCTGGCAGCTCTCGGACCTAAGCTGGCTCTGATATAACTTTAGTTGCTGTGTTTTCCCTCCTCTAACATTCTCTCTCACTTAGAAACTAATGTCCCTCCTTACTTGCTCTGTAAAGTGGCATCATCACTCTGTTGATGTGGAATTATAATGTACAAATGGAACAAAAATAATCCTTTAATCATCCAATACATGCCTGGTGAATATACAACAACATAAAGGTAGATGAAGGATACAAAATAAACTTTCTTTTAAGGCCACAAATTCTCCAGCTAATAGTTTGGCGTATTTGGATCACAATAATACATGGATTTTTTTATTAGACTGATGAGCTAATGCTCTAAAATGTATGTCAATTCATGGCTTCAATCAGTCAAAATAATTAAAACTACCCATGAAACAACTTTAAAGCATGCATTTTCCTATACTTATTAAAACCTTTAGGCTTCTAGGTGCATGGATTATCAGTTGGCTACCAAAGGCTTACCTTTGCCCTTACATTGTTTCTGAAGGTTTTCTTCTATCTATTGAGTTCAACTTATCTCTGGACTTGCTGTGGTGCCCCCTCAGCAATATAGGGTTTTATTTTAATTATTAAAAGTAAGTAAAAGTTTGTTTATATTGTGCTTTTCTAAACCAGAGTAGCAAGGTGCTTCACAATAAGGAAAAACAGATCACACAAGATCAAATCTACATCAGGGTTCCATTTCTTTTTGAAAGATAAATTTCCAGGACATTTTCAGTGATACAAGGCTGTGATGTCAATCGGGGATCATGTCCTAGATTAACAAGTAAGTTCCTTTGTGTGGAAGCCCTGATAATGTACCTTGCTTTGTGTTATTCAAGATGGCACCGGTGAATATGAGAGGCCTTTTAGGCCGCAATTCTTATTTTCTTACACAGACTCTTACACACACACTACTATAACATTTTACATGTTCAGTCATACTCATTCTCTGTCATACACACATCATAATCTCACACAGACACCACTATACTCTTACACACACTACTATACCCTCTCATTTGCACAGTCATAATCTTGCACAGCCAGCACCATATATTCTCATACACACTTGCATGCACACATGTGCATATATTATATTCTTGCATAACAGTTTATGTAAGAGGGAAAATTGTATATTTAATAAATTATGATAGAGCATGTAAGCGAGTTTAATAGTATATGTGAAACAGAATAATAGCATATGTAAAAGAGAATGATATTGAATGTGAGACAGAATAATAGCAAATGTAAGAGATATTAATGGTCTGTGTGAATGAGAATAGTCATGTGTAAGCAACAGCATGATAGTGAATATGAGACAGAATGATGGTGTATGTAAGACAGAATAGTTGTCTATGTAACAGAGATTGATTGAACTGGAACTGAGTTTGATTGAAATGGAAAAGCAACTGAATTCTCAGTTCCTCATTGGCTCACCTTCATACAAGGAGGGCTTTGGCCCGCCTTTCCATCATGTGGAGGACATGGAGAGAGGCAGTGACTTAATGAAGCCATTGGCCTAATAAAAAAAATATTTCAACTTAACCAATGGTTGTTACAACTATGTCAGAGTTTTTTTATCCTCAAAGTTGACAGCCATCCACAGGGGCTGCTTCTAATGCTGCCAGTGATGTGGAAATGCAGAGGCTCTTCAGAGCTGGATCAGGTGCACCAGGGAGCGGCAGACAACAGACAGAAAATGGGAGAAATATAGAGACTGCAAGCAGCGCCAGGCACCGTTTGGAAGTCTAACATTCATTATGCTTGTTTCACTAGTGCTGGTAGTCAGAACGCAGTAGGAGATCTCAGACAGCCAGCAGAGAAACCAAGGGCACTGCCAGAGGCTTGATTTACACAACAAAAAGACATTTCACCCTATGTGACCTGGACAAGACTTTTTTGTTTCTCAAAGTTTTGCCAAGTTTATGTAGCTAATGTGATGGGCAGTATTTCAGTGGATGGACCAAAAAGTCAAGGAAGAGGTGAGTTCCTTCGACAATGTAAAATCTTATTAGAAAACTTTATTAAAGCCACAATTTCTTACTGTTTGTCTGTGCAGATTCTCAGTCATCCAGGTCATAGTAAGTGACATCATAAGAGACCATGGTGTTTCCTTGTTCACTTGCATCCCCACCACAGAGGCTGTCAGGGCGGTGAAGAAGAGACTGCGGAAGGATGACACGCTAAACAACAGGACTAGCCTCACCCCAGACCATGTATGCACTCTACTGGAACTCTGTGGGGGGGCTTCTCAGGCTTCTCCACACAGACGAGGATTCATTGGCTGAAACCTGAGCTTTCAGCTTTTCAGAGTAGCTCCTCTTTGCTGATCTGATCTCCCTTGTCAGTGTGTTCCTTCCCTGGCTGTACAGAGTCCTGTCCCCACATCTGTAGGCCTCCTCTTTGGCATGATGAAGCTGCTTGAGTCTTGCTGTGAACCAGGGCATGTTGTTGTTGTATATGCAGAAGGATTTTTGGGCACACACATTCTCACAAAAGCTGGTATAAGATGTCATTGTCAGTGAGTTTGTCTAGGTCTGTAGCTGCAGTCCCAAATACACTCCAGTCTGTGCAGTCAAAGCAGGCTTGTAGCTCTGACTTAGCCTCCTCAGTCCAGCTCTTCACTGTTTTGACCACAGACTTCGCAGCTTTATGTTTCTGCCTGTAGGTTGAAATAAGATGGACCATACAGTGATGTGAGAGTCCGAGGGCTGTGCTGGGGACAGAGCGATAGGTGTCGTTTATTGCTGTGTAGCAGTGGTCCAGGTGATTTTGTCCCTGGTGATTCTAACCTCTTGGTCAGAAATTAACCCAATTCTTTTGTTGGAGCACGAGAAGTGACGACAGGAGAGGACTGTTTAAAATCAACAGAAAGCTTACTGAAAGTCTGATTACAGGCAAGTCTTACAGCGCTGGATTCAGAGAGCCAGAGCTCCCGCAGGAAAACCAACTTCTGAATCCCGAGTCATG